AAAAAAAGGCTTTCGGAAGCATTAGTCTAGAATTTTCAGTTCTCAATTACTGCAGTCCCTGAACTAATTGTGCACAAAGACACTTGGTCTCTGACGGAGAGGGTCGAGGTGAATACAGGTCTCACAGGAAGAAGGGGCCCGAGCCTCAGACAGTCCAGTGAGCCCCGCAGCACCTTCAGCACCCTAACACCATCTAAAGGGAATTTAAAGTTCCCTTTAACTTAAATCTAAAGGGCAGACTATGCTACCAGCAGATTCTGACTGCTGCTGATTGGGAAGAACACACTGCATTGGTAGAACAATACAAAGGCAGTAGGAATTCTAGATGAGGAAAGACATGGAGGAAATATTCTGAAAGCAAAGAACTCAAAGTCATCTCCAGTCCCCATGGAGGGGAAAAGGTGCTGAGTTCAACAGGTGTTGAACACAAACTTCTCTGAAGTTCTCTGAGCATAGTAATTAGCACCATTGCAAGCCTGGCCCACAGTGATGGGAGGCAGGAGGCAGCCAGTGTGGGAGACACGCAGGCCTTAGGCTGTCAACACACAGATTGTCATCTGCCTCCTGGGGACACAGGAGCACCCTGCTCTCACCACATCCCCTAACATCCTGACGTGAGCCTGAGAAATCCACTCCTTCCCCTGTCACACTTCTTGACCTCTGCCCTGAGCAATAGCAGCATGCATGCCACTGCCTCAGAGAAATCCAGGGCGATCATAGCAATACCCAAGCTTATTATAACATCAGTGGCATGGTACATGTCACACACACACACACTTTGGGAGCTAAACGGCTTTCATCTAGGCCAAGTAAAGTCAAAACACCTGCTCCCAAAGTCAGGGTAGAAAATCTCAATTAGTTGGATCCACAGTCCCCAAGTCACACGCAAAAACCTAGGAAAAGTTTCTAAACCTACAACAACTAAAGCAAACAAGGCTGCTCTCCTCACACTCCCCACTCTTCAGTTTACTCATCAGCCCACCCAGGCTCTGAGGAGTAAACTTTTGTTGCATGACTTCCTGCTATTCTTGTTTCTTCCTTATGTTTTGCTCAATACTTCGTTGAGGATACAAAGACCCTGGAGCTATGCCTGAGTCTGGCAACAGCTGATTGAAACCATTTCCCATGGTGAAGAAACCTCAGTTCAAGGAAAAAGGGTATTGTCCCATAAAACATTGCATAACACTGCCATAAAGTTGTCCCAGTGCAAGAAAATAACTATGTAATCAGATAAAATGCTTCTCAATTCCTACGGAAATGAAGCACCTGCTCAAGGCATGCTGCTCAAGTGTAATTAATTCTCAAATTTTTAAAGAAAAATTCCCCTATGGCTGGCATCAGTCCTCTATATTACCTAGGAGACAAGAGGACAGCACCAGGTGGTAAGAGACTGCATCAGTTCTATAGAATGACGATCATATTGTTTCAGAGTCTTGTCTTCAGGTGACTCAGGCATATTCCTCAGAGCCAGATGATTCCACAGACAAATAAATCAGGAATGAAATTCCCTGTAGAGTTTTCATCTCTACACATGAGGCCCTGAATTAATGATCTCCCTGCACTAGCTCAGGTCTCAGGGGAGCCGAGCCAGGTACCCTCAGGAGCCCCCTACTAACCACTCTGTCTCTCTCCTGCCTGGATTCTGATCACTCCCAGTTCGCTGCCCATGAAACCCAGGCTCTGAGGAGAACGTGCCTCACTAGAGCCCATCCTGCTTTCCTCCACTGGCTTCCCACTTGTGCATCTCTGCCTTCACCTCAAGGTGAGTGCAGCTGGGGTTTTCTTCCACAGGAAACCTCATTCTTTCTCCTCCAGTGACCTCCATGCAGAATCATCACAGAAAGTTTCTCCCTTGCCCGGTGAGTGTGAGCTCCTCTTGGTCCAATACAGTAAGATCATAGTAACCGTAGTAAAATCACTAAAACAAACATTTTGAAATCTAACTATTACCCAGAAACTTCTATAACCACTAGATTTCAGATTGAATAAATATAAGACTGAAAAATTACACATTTTTAAGTCAGTGGCAAAGGAAAAATTAATCGCAGAAAACCCCATGAGAAGACTGACAAAATAATAATCACCTCTGCAAACTTCTCCTCTAGTGTGCATGAAGAATTGCACTGGATCTTAGGTAAAACACAGCAAAACAGAACATAAAATCGGGAATCTACTGTCTTAAATGATGGCAGAGACACAGAATGAGACAAGTGAAATTTGTAACAAAGTTTAGAGTGTTGTAAAAATTAGAGGACAAAAAAATAACAGTTTATGTGATAAGTGAAAGAAGTGTCACTTGCAAGTGAAGCTAGACATTAATTCGTGTATTTATTAAATAGCTGCTCCCGGCCAAAACCATGGGAAGACAGGAAACTTAAACTCAGGACAAACACCCAAAGTGCTCACAGGCAGAAGCGGGTGAGCGAGAGACTGCACTGGACTCAGAACTCACAGCAGCACCCAGAGGCA